ACATCTGGCAGCATTGCACCTACTGCAGTTTCCAAGGCAACAATCTTTGGAAACTCCATGTGTTCCTAAAGAAGCTGTCATCCTTCTTGATGTAAATACAGCAGGTGTGAAAGGCTTTATCAGGTGGCTGCTGCTCCCTGCAATGTTGCCTGCTCCCTGTATTTCCTGCTGAAGATAGGCTGCCGGTCCATTCGCCATATCACAAAACCTCTCTTGCTTGTTCCTATCCCTGTGTGCCATGTCTGTAGTCAGCTCTTCTGCCAGGGGGATCACTGGAGATCTCTGCTGAGGTGAAGTATTCAGGAAAAATTAATTCCAGAGGAGGCACTTGCCAGCCCTGAAGTTTGTAGCACTTAGATGCTCCCACTTAGCCTTGTCCCAGAGTTGTTTCTCTGGGCTTCTCTTGAGTGTTTGGTATTTTCTTGGTAATGGGGTTGTATTTTGGGTCAATGTCAGAGGAAAACTCCTTATACTGTTTATGTAGAGGAACTCGCTGTTAGGTTTAACATGGACCTGAGACCAGCTTTGTGTGCTTGAAAACAGGAATTTACTGAACATTCCTGATTGTGGTGTCACTGATGTATAGTGAAGGACTCCCATCTCCTGGGAGAAAGCCGGAACTGCTCTCCTGGCCAGCTGAGCCATCTGATAGCTGGTGTGATAGTAAGAGCTGTCTCAGCCCAAACATTTAATGTTCCCTGTGGGTGACAGTGATTTATAGGAATTGCTACAGTCACATCTGTCCCTTGCTGTAAACCCTGGGAGGGAAAGTGCTGGATTAGGTGCAAACTCAGCTTTGTCATGCAAGTGGTTTGTTTGTCTGCTCCACATTGAGTGGAAGATGCTACAAATTTGCTTCCCTGGAGTTCTCTTGCTGCAATTTTGTCCATGCTCCCAAACCTGGGTTGATCCTCCCCTCTGCTCCCTCAGGCTTGGGTTTCTGCCGAGTTATCTATCAACTGCACCCGATATTTGCTGGCAATGTATTGGATCATGCGCTTTATGGGAATTCTGGCAGCTGCCATGGCTGTAAATAGTGGCTACTTGATGCCTCCCAAGGGCTAGAAGGGAGAAAAGGTGTTTCTCACTGACTATTGGGATGATGCTGCAGCACTTTGGAGGTGGGAGCCTGTTCGCCCAGTGACTCCAGGATCTGGGCCTGAGGGGACCTGCCCTTGCAGGCTGTGTAGCCCCAGTTTAGAAGCAGAATCTAGGCTGGAGTCATTGGGCAGAAAAATGAAGTGGAGCTGAGTCATTTAGCAATTAGTGAGCCTTTAGCCCTGGTAAGAGTCTGAGTAACTGAGAGGCAGAATCTGCCCAGTGATTACTATTGAAGGATGTCACAGAGACAGTCCACTTACAGTTCTAGCTGCTGTTCTGGGTTTAACTTTTCCTTTTTTTCCCCCTGCTCATCTCCCCATCAGCAAACTGGGGAATATGCATAGAAAAACAAATCAGCAGCAGATAGTAGGATGTGAAGCGATTCTCCTGCTGGTATGGGTGGGACTGTGGGCAATAACACACAAAGATAATGTGTTGCTTTCTTGCTTGCAAGCCCTAAAATGGTTTGGAGGAAGAAGGTGAGAACCTGAGGCAGCTGGTTTGTGAGAGATGCTGGATACTGTACAGCTGGTTTGGGTTTTAGGTACTTGATTTCTTCAGAGCTCATAAGTAGAGGGGACGGGCCACTGTTACTGGTGTGAGCTGCTGTTGTACTCGTCAGCAGGCACAGGTGTCTGTGCAAAAGGCTCTGGTCTCCCAGATAACACAGGTCCCAAAAATGCCTGTACAGGTTTTGGTTTTTTTCCCCCTCTTTAGCATTTATCAGGCAACATGGAGGCTCCCCATCTCCACTGGACTGGCTGGAGGCCTGTGCTGGATAAGGAAGTGAAGGCTCCTCTAAACTTTGCGTGCTCAGCTGCAGGAGTGAGCAAGATCTGCTGATGGATGTGAGGACAACACAATCCAGGATGGTAGTGAGTGCTGGTCTTGGGAGCACTAAGGAGATCTGCTGGTGTAAGGGCCACAAGAGAATGGAGGAACTAGGGACTCACAGTGAGAATTGATGCTTGGGGTCAGCCAAGAATGCCAGGAAGCAGGGAAGTGGGAATTAGTCAAGCAGGAAGAGAGCCAATCTTCTCTGATGCCAAGAGGACCTTTTAAGCACCCAAGACTGCTGTGGGTGTGGAGCTGCGTGGAGTAGCCTGTGGCATTGTCTTGGTTTGAAAAGACAGGAGGCTGTGAAGGAAGGCAAAAGCCTTCTGTGAAATGGAAAAGGTAAACCCCCTCCTTCCGAATTATCGCAATTTCAGAATTAAAAGGGCTCTCAGGCAAAGATATGGGAATGGGAATAACAGTTTTTTACTAGGAAGAAAAAAAACCTAAATAACAATGTAATTTAGCACAAGCAAAACAACCACTGGCAGAGTGAGAAAAACCTGACACCCTGAGAAGTCAGGGTGTTGATAGTAGTCCTGCCAGATGGTGGCTGCTCCTCCTGGAGCGGCGATCTGCAGAAGGGGGTAGATCCTTTCTGAAAATGCGGCGAAGGAGCAGCTGGGCCTCGGTTCCTGATTCCTCTGGGAAATCCAGCGAAGAAGGCTGTCTGTGGTCTCAGAAATGCTTGTTTTATGGTGGCAGGGATGCTTGGCTCCTCCCTCTGGGTGGAGCATCTCCCAATGGGATGATGTAACTAATCTTACCAACCACAGCGAGTAATTCAATAGCCCATTAGCAGGACATTGTCTTCCTGGCAGTGTCATTGTTCTTGAAAGAGATAAGAAAAAACTGCCTAAGCCCCAACAGATGGCAAAAATAGAATACATGCTTATTTTACAAGCCAGGACAGGCATCCAAAAGAGAAGGGTGAAGCAGGACGGTCTGTGCAGGTCAGGGTGCAGGGGCAACCCCCCAGCCTGGACTTGTCACTGCCCACACTCATGGGAGCATCTGGGCTGCCCTAGCTAGGGGGTGTGAAAGGCTCTCCAATCAATCATGTAGGATTTTTTCCTTTGATTCATCAGCTGTAATTCCTCCTGGACACATGTTTTTCTCATGGCTTGCCTTCTGTAAGTCAGCTGTTCCCCCTCAGGAGCTGGCCTCAAGGCAGCCTTGCCTGGGTTCACTTTCAGGCAATGCAACCTTTCCTTCCACACAAGTATTCCAGTGCACATAACACTCTGGACTCCCTCTTCCCTGACCCTTTCTTTGTGCTCCTAGGCTGAGGTTTCCCCTGATTAATTTATTTGGCTCCCTGATCTCTACTTTTCTCACAGTTTCTAAGGAGATTGGTGCAATGAGACAAAAATGTCAGCCCCTTGTATTTTGTGCAGGGGGGCAAGCCTGAGCTGTTGCTGGATTACATAAAACCCTGGCATTGCCATCATTTGATGAGACTCTTGAATTTCCCATTCCCAGTTCAATGATATTTTGCCCTGAACAGAACTGAGCACAAATTTGGGCCGGTTTGTTTTGCTAGAATCCTGAGTTATAAAAAATGTGCTGCATCAACATGAAACACAGATTTTGGAGTCTGACAAGGGGTTTCTTTTCACATAAAACAAGTAAAGGACTTTTTTCTGATGCCTGAGTGCTGAGGCATAGGGGGGAAATCCAGGGAGTTGCTGATAGACTGATGAGGGAATAAAACTCAAGTGGACTGGTGGCTCTCAGCAAACTCTTGAACTTTTTCCAAAGGGATAAGACTTTTCAGGGTGATTCAGAACTGCTCTTCCCCACAGAAACCCACCTGGGCACACTGCACATAAGGCCAGTTGCTCTGAGCTGCCTGGCTTAATTCTCCATCTTGCCTACACTTGTTTCCCTTCCTTGCCCATTCATTCTTGCTTTCTCCTGTTGGGCTTCCTTTCCTCTGGATTTCAGCAGAGGAATCTGGGACTTGCAGGCTGTCCCTTCCCACTTCCCAAACCTCCTTCCTGGCAGTGCTGTTTCAGGAGTCCTTGTGCTTTGGCCAAGAGGGACACCTGGTGGGGTTGGAGCTCAGGGACCTGGGGTTTGTTTTTATTTCTTGCATTTTTATTAATTCATTTGTAATCATTATGAAGGAGCAGGAACTGAGGTTTTACATGGTGGCCTGCTGACAAGTGGACCTTTGGTGGCCAGTTAATGGGCCGTCTCTCTCTTTGTACTTGGACATAGGGAAGTGACTGTGGAATGAGGCTTTTGTGGGAAGAAAGGTGTTGTGGTAGGCGACACTGTCCTCAGTAAAACAAAACCTGTCTGAACACACTTCTCTGTGGATTTGGTTGCACAAGTTTCAAATTTCGACTTGGAAAATCCTCTTCTGCTCTCTTCTTGCTTGGCCATGATCCTGCTGCTTGTGGCAGGAGCCCCAAACTGCATGTGGGCACAAGAGAGAGAGCAGACCCTGGATCTGGTGTTCAGGAGATGGAACAGCCCACTGCAGTTCCCCTGGGTGCAGGTGCTGGGGCCCAAATGCTGGGCTCTTCTCATTAACTGTTTTATCCTTTTGCATCTTGTTATTCCAGGCATCTTCTGGGGACCATCATCCGTAACAACTCATGTTTAGGGAAGATTTTAGGCCATGTGTCTGGAGAGCTTAACTGCAAACTGTGGGACACTGGAATGAAAACATTTGTACTTTTATTTGCTCAATGCTGCAAAAGTGCTGCTGATGCTGCCTGCGGGAAAGAGAATGACCACAGTAAATGCTTCCTTTTGTGTTGCTGTAGCTTTGTGTAAGCACAGATCTCAGAATGTTCCTTAACTCTGCAGGGAGGGCTAAGGCACAAACCATCCTCCTATGAGCCTTTACAGCTGTTTCTTGTGAAGATTTCTCCCCCGACCCTACATGTCTCTCCACCACAGTGGCACTGCTGTGCATAACAGCAGTGAAATGTTTTACTGGGAGAGGCTCAGCTTCTCCCTTAGCACTGGGGGTCTGTGCTGTAGGTTTCTTTCAGGAACACTTACACAGAAGCTCAGGAAGAACCACAGATCCACAATATTAGAAAATATCCCAGTTTATTGCAGCATCTCAGTTCTGAGAGTTTTACAAAACAATGTATTTACAGGTAAGGAAGGGACTAAGCTGGAGTGTGCTTTGCTGGGGCAGGAACAGACTACAGAGGAAAAAGGAAGATCAGCACATTCACAAGTCACATTTTTCTTTACAGAAGTCAGATAGATGTAAGGCTGGTGTGCACAGCTGACTGATGTTGTCCTTGTGGGGAGCACTCCGGGAAGAATTCAGTGCAGCCCTTGTGCTCTTCACAGTGATTCCAGGCACCTGGGGCTCAGCAGAAGCTGCATCAGCTGAGCTCAGTGAGATGTTAAGGCACAATGCAGTGATGCCAATGGCTCTGGATCTCCACATGTGCCAGCAGCTCTGCCTGTGGCTTCCCTCACAGTGAGTGATAGTGTTTGAGCCCTGCCCATGGCTTTCTCTGGGATGAGTGATGGCTTTGAACTCTGCCCATGGCTTCCCTTGGGATGAGTGGTGGTGTTTCAGTCCAACATCTCTCTTTCAGGCCCCCAGTCCTGGACTTGGTCATGCCAGAAGCAGAGCTGGACAGAGGATAGAAGGAGGAGATCACAGTGTGGGACAAAGGACGGATCCCAAAGGGAATCCCCCTGAAACTATGGTAAGACCTTCCTTTACCCCCACCATGGCTGAACACCAGAGAAAGGGTATGGATGGCTGTTTGAAAACAAATGCACGACTTAGAATATATGCTGAAACCTTGTTTTTGAACTTGTCCAATAAAGTTTGCCTCTAAACACAAACTGTCTTTTTTTAAATTCGATTTTTTTAAAGTTTATTGCTATATGTAATCTTGAATGATGGCTCATTCCAATTATTCATGGCAACTGCACTAGTTTACCCTCCCCAAGGGAAACTTCTCCAAACATGGATTTCTCAGACTAAGGGCTAAACCAAACCATCAGCTCTGGTTGCACATGGAGTCCCAGGCGCTCGCAGCGAGGTAGAGGGAGGGTTCAAGTTCACAGTAGAGGCTGTGCATGGCTGGCACTGCCAAGTGTCTTCAGCCAGCACTGCCCAAGAGGTCTCCAGGCAGGGATCCATCCCTAGAGGCCTGTGTGCTCCTGGATCCAGTCTCGCAGGCTTGTGAGCCGGCTGTACACCCCAGGTTTGTTCCTCTGGGCACAGCCATCGCCCCAGCTCACCACGCCAGCCAGGAACATCCGACTACTGGGCTCCACACTGACCAGGGGCCCCCCAGAGTCTCCCTGCACAGAACCACACAGGAGCATAAGCACCAACCTCATAGATCACTCTCATGCACAGTGTTAAAGTCAATCACAGAAACTGAGAAAGAAATAATCAATCAGTAAATCCCTAAGTCAGCTGTCATTACAATTTTTTGGCCATTCCCTGTAACAACTATTTAAGCATGGCAATAAAAGACACAGTGCCAGAACAAAGAGCTATAAAATACCAGTCAAGCAGCCTGGCTCAACCAAGACTCTGCTAAGACTCTGAATAATAGCCAAAAGTTGGAATAAGGCTGTATCTTCTGTCTGCTGAGATGGAGTCTAAATCCTTTGGTTTTGGGCTGTAGTTTTTGAGTTGTAAGTCATGCATCAACACAACTTGCTGCTGGTTCCCATTGTAATCTGTTCATTGTCTGAATCCAGAATTCCCACAGATTTGTTTTACGTTAAAAATGTAAATATAAGTGGAAGTACCAGAATGAGCAGGGCTGAATAAAGGCCTCTCTCCCTGCCTAATAACCAATAACCAACACTAAATCCAGGTGCTGCCTTACCTGGCAGGCATCCACACCACCGGTCAGGATTCCCACACACATCATGCGTGGTGTCAGCTGGTCTGTCAGGAGCTGGTTACACACAGTCTGGTTGATGAGCCGGATCTCTGCCTTCTGCAGGATAGAGGCTCCTGTGCCTGCCAAGATGGAGGAGCATCTTAAGTAAAAATATACATTTTTAAGCAGCTTCCCGTTTTTTCCCCTCAAGAAACACAGAAATCATAGACGTGTAGAATCCCAGAATGGTTTGAATTTGAACAGAACTAAAGCCTGTCTTGTTCCACCCCCTGCCACAGGTAGGGACACTTTCCACTAGACCAGGCTGCTCCAAGCCCTGTCCAACATGGCCTTAAATGCTTCCAGGGATGTGGCAGCCATAGCTTCTCCTAGGAGCCTGTTTAAAATACATCAATGCAGCACAAAATCACATGCCAGTGCTCACCTCCTTCTGCAGTTGCTCCCCATCCAGTCACCCACAGGTCCTTGCCCACAGGGAAGTTGTGGGTGGCATCGGGAAGGCAAATGGGCTGGACGACGGCTGTGAAGGTGACAGGGCTCTGCAGCTCCAGCACAGCGATGTCGTAGTCATAGGTGTAGTCATTGAAGAAGGGGTGGGAGATGATACGCTTGATTTTGCGGGTTTGCACATTGGGGCTGCTGCGGTCACCTTGGTCAGTCAGCCCCAGGTAGGCTGTCCACAAGCTGGGATCTGAGTACCTGCATGGGGGCCATGAAACACAGGGTGAGACCTCATCTTGGAGACAGCACCACTCACTACCTTAAACAGTTTCCTTGAGGAATGCCTCTCAGCGTCAGTGTTGAAATATTGTGGTTTTGGTCACCACAATATAAGAATAATATTAAACTATTAGAGAGCTTCCAAAGAAGGGCAATGAAGATGGTGAAGGGCCTTGAGGGGAAGCCGTTTAAGGAGCAGCTGAGAGCACTTGGTCTGTTTAGCCTGGAGAAGAGGAGACTGAGGGGAGACATCATTGCAGTTACAACTTTCTTGTGAGGGAGAGAAGAGGGGCAGACTCTGATATCTGTTCTGTGGGCCCACTGACAGGACCAGAGGGAATAGCCTGAAATTGTGTCGGTGGGGTTTAAGTTGGGTATCAGGAAAAGGTTCTCTTCCCCAGAGGGTTATCAGGTACTGGAACAGAATCCCCAGGGCAATGGCCACAGCCTCAAGCCTGACCGAGCTCAAGAAGTATTTGGATGATACTGTTGAGCACATGGTGTGACTCTTGGGGATGGTGCTGTGCAGGGACAGGAGCTGGACTTGGTGATCCTTGAAGGTTTCTTCCAACTCAGTTTATTCTGTGATTCTGTGAAATACCTAGAAGCACAGGGACGTGAGGCCGGTACCTGATGCCTTGCAATGGCAGGAAGCAGTGTGCTGCCGACACCAGCCAGCTTGCTGACACCAGCGAGGCCCCACAGATGTGGCCCTGGCCCTTGACGTGCAGGCTGACCTGCCACGGCCACTCTCCCACGTCCGAGTTCTGCCCACCAACAATCCGTGACTTCCTGACGTAGGAGCGGAGCCCACAGTCTAGGGCAGAGAAGGAGAAGGAGAAGGGGAGCTTGGTTTCTCCTGTTGCCATCCCACGCCTCCCCTCTTGTTCCTCCAGGGCATCTGACAGCACAAATACCCTGTTTACATATGTCAGGAAGAGCTGATGTTCTCTGCACAGATGCTAAATTAGCTACAACATTTACTGGCCAACTCTGTAAAGGGGAGATAAGCCCCTGTATTACCCATCTAAGCCTTCCTGAATAACGCAGACAGCCCACAGGCCACTAAAGAACGTGGCTTGGTTATTTCCAGATCAAGTTCCTGCACAGAAACACACAGGGGCTCTCTCTGCCACACTGGGGTGTTTCTCTGAGAGACCCAGCCCAGAATCCCATGTCTCCCCTATTCCTCAGGCACTCACTGCAGTTGTCCTCATCAGAGTGGTCCTCACAGTCCTGCTCCCCATCACACTCGGGGTTCTGTTTGCTGATGCAGTGTCCACTGCGGCACTTGTATGTGTACTCCTTGCAGGGGACTGTGGTCTGGCCTGCTGCAGGCAGGATGGAGGCACAGGGGTTAGCCCCAGTTCTGGGGAGGTCACATCAAGTTCACCTCTTCTGCCCAACCCCAGGGCATTTACACCTCATGCAAACACACACATGAGGGTGCCCAGCCCCAAGGAATTCCATCAGAGGCTGTGTTTGCTGTCAGTCACCCCGCAGCGCAGCCGACCCTCACCTGTGCTGCAGCTGCCCTCATCGCTCCCGTCCCCACAGTCGTCCTTGCCATCACATTTCTGTGTGCTGGGGATACACTTCCCGTTGTCGCACTTGAAGCTGTCATCTGAACAGCCTGGGGACAGAGAGCAGCTCCTGAGGGCTGGGCATGAAACCTGCAGCACCTCAGCATACGGCTGTGCCCAGCTCCCCTCCCCACGTAAAGCCTCTGCAGTTCCAAAATACTGTGTCTCCAATCTCTTCTCCAAACTGCAGACCATCACTCAGTTATCCAGCCCTTTCTATTCCTATACCTTGCTCATCCTTCTTTCCTCTAAGCTCTCATTCACCTGTATCAGGTGAGCACTCATCATGCCTGGGTTTTTTTGCCTGCTCATTTTCAGCACAGCACTTCTCTCCATCCCACGAGCCTCCATCACCCTCATTGCACCCTGTGTGCCTGCGTGAGCCCTCAGTCCTTTGTGTCTGCAGGATGAGTCACTCACTGCACTGTAGCTCATCGCTGTTGTCGCCGCAGTCATTCACGTTGTCACAGACCCAGAACCTGGGCTTGCACCACCCGTTCCGGCACCTGAACTGCTGCTCGGTACAGGCTAGAAGAGCAGAGTAAGAATCACAGGATCATTTAGGTTGGAAAAGACCTCCAAGACCATCAAGTCCTACCTGAGACAAATCACCACCTTGTCAACCAGACCAGAGCACTGAGTACCATGTCCAGTCATTCCCTGGACACCTCCAGGGATGGTGACTCCCCTGGGAAGGCTGTTCCAATGCTAGAAATTAGAGGAGATGCCTGCAAAGGCACCTGTGGAGTCACCAGCAACCCAGCCACCATGGCAGCTCTCCCAGTGGGTGTGCAAGCACTTGGGAACCACAGCAACCAGCTCGGGACCGTGCACGTGAACATAAATACATTACACACTCAGTACATCACAGTATTCCACTTTTCTGGAGAACAAAGCCATTTGGAGCTGTTATATCTGAGGCAGTGGAGGCTGAAGCTGACATCACAACAGCAGGACAGCCAGAGGCAATACTGAAGCAAAGTAATTGCTGCAAGCAGTGGGAAAGCACCTGAGAAACCTGGATTATGGACCAGCAGCATATTCTTCCCCAGAAAACTGCCCCTCCCAAAGCAGGGCACCCCGTCCTCTCTAATAAACTGCAGACTCTGGACTAACATTAACTATAGGACAGCTCTGCTAATCCAAGAGGAAAACCTGTTGCACAAAGAAGCAACTCCCATGTGTCCCAGGAATTTTCCAGATGATCTCTGCAAAGCCTGCCCAGTTGGGTAATGAAATGAGTCCCTCCACACCACTCAGCTCAACAAAACCACAACCAGCAGGATTACACAGAAAAACACACTCCCAGCTGGGAAGAACTGGAAAGAGAGGGCAATGACACTGGGACAGGGCTGGACTAGCAGGAGCCCACAGCTCTTATGCTGAGAAGGGATCCCAAATTCTGCACCGAGTCTCACTCCAGCCTGGAAGAAGGCAGCAGTGCTGGTTCCAGCCAGCACTGAGTCACATTACGCAGAACAAGCCTAACCACCCCAGGGCAACATGGCCTTTCCCATGCTGTGCCAAAGAGAAGCCAAGGCTGGACTTACTGCAGGACCTCTCATCACTGCCGTCCACACAGTCCAGCCACCCATCACAGCGCATGCTCCTGTCGATGCAGCGGCCAGTATTGCAAGTGAACTTGCCAGGGCAGGCTGAGAGGGAGAAAGGGACAAAATCATACATGAGCCCTCTTGGTGTCCCCTGTACATCCCTTCTGCAGAGTTTCCTATACCTGCTTATAGCAGAACACAACAGGAAGACTAGGAGGTTTTCAGGAAAGCAAGGCATGCTGCTATCCCCCTGGAAAAGGCTGTTTCCCAGTTTATAGGGCAGTGTAAACACAGAGGAGGGACAGCTCCACATCTCAGGGAAATTACTTTCCCCACCCCAGCCCCAGGGTTTCAACTCACGGTCACTGGAGTCGTAGGACAGGAACTCCGCAGAGAAACCTGTGTCTGTGTAGGACTGGTCCGAGTGGAACCGGAGCTCGATTTTGTTGGTGGTACTGGCCACCACAAACTGGGAGCGCTCCCCACAGTACCTGCAGGGAGAGAGCAAAGAGGAATCAAAGGGCTGGAGGTCAGCATCAAGAAAACCTCCTTCTATCCCCGATCTCCCTCCACACCCAGGGAACTGAGTGGGCAGCAGAGCAGGGAGCAGGTCTGATCCCAGCACAGACTGCTGGGCCTCAGGATCCAAATTCTGCTGCTGCTGGCAGAAGGTTTGGGCCAGTTGTAAACACCAGCTTGTGACTTTAGGAATGACTGGGAACAAGTTCTTCCACATCCCTGCCTGCCCCATGATGTGTCTGATCCCAGATACACTGGACTCCTGCAGGATCCCATCTCACCATGGGCAGGTAGGATCATGTACATGAACAGCACTGCAGAGGCAGGTGCTGACTTTGAAACCTTCTCTGTGAGACACGGTCAGCTCCCTTGTCCAAAACATTGTGAAACAAGATTGATCACCTGCCTGTGAGATACTGTTTTCTGGCTGACCCAGCTTATATCAGGCTGGGGAATGTATCTGGAAATGCATCACAGGATATGTGTGCCCTGAGAATGGAGAGCTGCTTGTTCAAGCAAACCCACCCCAGATGTTCCTGTCTTCCCACACATGAGCTGTGTGCTGTGACGCTCCAGAGCATCTGGGGGCAGTTCAGCTGCAGCACACCACAGAACCTAGTATGGGGCTCCCCAGTCATCATGAGGCAGTCCTGGGCACCCTCCTGCCTCCTCCCAGCCCTGACAGCACAAGCACACTTGTTCCCACAGCAGATTAAGGAAAGCACGAGGTTTTGTGTAACTAAATGAAGCCACTCCATGGGTTCAGCCACCCAGCACCCACCTTGTGCCGTTGATCTGCACATAGTCTTTGGTGCAAGAGCTGACTGGGATCCCAGGCTCCAGCACAAAGAACATGTTGAAACGCACCTTCACATTCTTTGTAGAGGGAACCTGCAAAAGGAAGCGCAGTCAGTGGGATGTTGCTTTCTCGAGCAAGGAAAAAGGAATAGTTTCACAGGAAGAGGGTTGTGCTTGGGGGAGGACAGAAGATAACTAAAAAGGGAAAGTCAGTTTTCCAGCAGGAAAAGAAACAGCTTCATAAAAGTCACTGAGTCACCCTGGCTCCAGAATCCCCAGCGAAACAGGCATACAGAGGGGTGGAAGCCAGATCTTTGGTCAACAGCCAGTAACTGGCCTGTCCCAAAGCCCACACTCTCATCCTTCTTGTGTGAAAGTTACAGGATTTTTCATGGGCTTCTTTGGAGTTCAGGCCTCTTGCAACCTCTTCAGTCTTTGCCCCCAGCTCCTAAAGGCTCCCTCAGTCATGCCAGACTTGGAGCCTCTGGGCCCCAGCTACTGTGAGCTCCATTGCACCATTTCCTGTATGACTAGGGTCATTTGACAGACTTGTTAAGGGAAAGAGAGGGCCCATCTCACCTCAATGTTCCAGACACAGTCCATGTCTGGGGGGTAGTGTGCTGGGTAATAGGGAGTTGTGAAGGTGCCACTGTCTCCCTTCAGGGTCTCACCGCAGGCTAAAAACAAGCAGGAAGGTAATAATAAATTAGAGATTTAGATGTGGTTTTTCCAAGCCTCAGCTGGCTGTCATTGGAGGCAGCGGCAACAGTCTCTAATGGTTAAGTCACTCTCTGGAGAGAAACAGCTCTGCTCCAAGGCTTGAGAGAACCCAGGAGATCAGTTAGGTGCTTCTATCAATCTGCATGTCTAATCCAACATAATTCTCATTTTTGCCTCTTTGGGGGACATCCTTACCACAGTCAAGAACACCATAGACAAGGCAAGCGCCAAGAGGTGACCTGTTTCCAGATGCTCCACCCCTCAAAACATCCATTACAAACTGACCACAGCCATAGCCACCTCCCTGTTCAGCTGTCCATGGCAGGGAGACATAGGAAAACAGGCCAAGGCCTCTGCTCACCTTTCATCTTTGGGAGCTGGAAGAACTCAGCCTTAAAGCCAGGGAATCGTCCCTCCTTGTTGGTAACCAATGTGACTAGCATGACGTTCTGGGAGGACAGGAAGGTCAGGTTGTAGGATGGGGCATAATTCCCACAAAGCCTAGGAAGCAAAGGACAGAATTTGTAAGGCACAGCTGCACAGGGAGCCTCAAGCAGCACAGCTCAGCTCTGAGCAGGGGCAGGACATCTCAGGATCACCCTGGACTTAGTGCCATACAGCAACACCCACCTAACCAAGGCGTGGGGCTCCACAGGGCTCAGAGAGTTGTACACCTTGATGTAGTCACTGTCATCTCTGCATGGCTCCAGCTCCAAGGTCTTGAAGGTGAGACTGATGCTGGAACTGGCATCTGCCCTCAATGCCCAGTAGCAGAGGGCATTGTTGGGGTATGGGCTGTTGGGGAAGCCCGGCGTGGTGAAACTGGTGACCTCCCCTTCCTTGGCGTGAAGGGAGAACATGCAGCTGTCTGCCCAGAGAGTAGGGAACAGTTAACAAGGCAAAGAAGCCTTGCCCTGCCTTTCCCTGGGATGCAGAGAATAATTCCTGCAGGCTATCCCAAGGCAGATGGCTCTTCCTGGGTAACAGCAAGGCCTGTGCCACAGTCTGTCCAACCCCAAACCAGCTCCAAGAAGCACACTGGGATCTGCCTTGCATGCAGAACACCTCTCTCCATACCCTTCCCCATCCTGCAAGAGAAACACCACCCTAAAGAGACCACTGAGATGGAAGAAGCACTGTACTTACTGTCCCGGGCAGAGTGAGCTATGCTGGGGTCCACAGCTGCAGGAGAAAACAAAGCTGACATCACCCTTTGGGCTACGAGAAATCCCTGGGCACAAAGCTGAGGTTGTTCCTCAGACTATCATTGATCTGGCCTCACTTGTGGAATCTCTCCCTGCAACCTGGGAGGAGAGGCTGCTCCTTCCTGGCCTCTAGGAGCTGAGGGAGCAAACTCCCTCTGCAAAGGGAGAACTCATCCTTGTCCCTCTTCCCTGGGCTCAGAGGAGAACACAGAGCATTTCAGCAAAGGGGAGCAGGTCCGTGCAGCCCCCTTTAGGCTGCACATCCCACTAAGCTGTGCTGTGACATCCAGGTCCTTACACCACTCTCAGGGCTGGCTTTCTCATGAGAAGGCTGTGACCAGCACAGAGAAATATCCCACCTGATCCCACAAAGAGGCCCAGGGACAGTGGAACCAATACTCACGGAAAGCAATGACTGACTCCACCTTCAGCATGGGGTTTCTCAAGCGGGGGTTCCACCTCTGCACCAGGCTTTGCTTGTCAGCCATTGCCCTGTCCAGCCTCTCTTCCCGGTATTTGGGCACAAGGAATTCTGACCAGTAGTAGGCAATGACACTGCCTTCACTGTGGAAAAGGTAATTGTGTGATGAGGGCAAGGACAGACATGGGAGGATTCCAATACCTCTAGAAGAAGGGGCCAGACTACTAAATTAGCCAGTTTTGGAGCCTGGCCACATGGAAGGGAGAGTTTCAATGACAAGTTAAGCAAACAGCAAAGGCCCCTGCCAGCCTGAGGAGTCTCTCTCAATGCTGCCAGGCACCACCCCTTGATTTTTCCCAAGACATCTGGCAGAAAACAAAATGCATTTTCAGGTCACTTTTTACTGCTCACCCTTTCCTGTGTCACTCAGGGTGACTACTGAGGTACTTCCAACCCAGTATCCTGGGAAGGAGGGTAAATGGCTGGTGTGATATCCTGGCACCCTAGATGGGGCTCAGGCAGTACCTAACTCACCTGAAGGCAGTGATTACTGTCTCTTTGTGGTAAGGACCAATATCAGCATGATTCTTGTAGATCTCCTCCACCTGAAAGGGTTAACAAAGGGTGTTTAAGCATGTCTAGAAGTGAAGAAAAGGGAAAGGCTAAAGACAGACAGAGCTTCAAGCCTGCAAAGGAAAACCAGGGCACATACCTGGCATCCCTGTGTGCAGCAATCTGCAGAGCCAAAGAAAGAAAGAAGGAGAGCTGAGAGCCCCAGAAGAGTCCAGAGCTGCCCATCACAGCCTGTTCTGACCCAGCTCACCCACTCTTCCCTGGGGGAAGTGAATCCCCAAGTCTGAGGGAAGAAGCAAGACCAGCCACAGCTTCAGCTCTTTTACACATCCGTTTGCCTCAGTTCCTGGTCCTGATTCATCCAGTGATTCTGGGACGTGCCCTGGCAGCTCCTATGGCACTGGGAGATGCCATGGCACTGGGCTGGAGCTGGGATGTCAAGATCCGGCTCCAAAGAAGGTCCTGCTCGCAGCCAGTGTGACACAGCAAGCAGGGGAAGCTCCAAGGAATCTTACATGGTATACCCCCATGGCCACAGGGTAAGAGGAAAATTCCTTGCTTGCAGAAGGAGGGAGGCAAGAAACCTCTTACCGTGCTCTTCACCTTCTTGGCCAGCATACTAAACTCTGGAGAGCTGGAGTTCTCATAGGCATCCAGGAATTCCCAGTTCAGAACCCGCAAGTGGCCATTGAAAACCTTCTGGACAGGTGTGTTCCTATCTGGAAGAGAACAGCTCAGGGTCAGGAAGGGTAGTCAGAGCTAGGACGGGTGTCACAGCAGATCCCCAGTGACAGCAAATGGGGCAGGGAGGTGGAAATGGGGTCACCAGAGCTTGAGAGGGCATGTGTGAGCAACACCAGGTAACAAAGCTTTTCCATGTGGATGGATACGTTCCCAGGGTGTTACCTTACATGTCATCACCCATCAGATGTCACACTCACATTTGAAGTGCCAAAACAGGAGGCCAGTGGTGAGGGAGACAAGCAGAACAACAACGATCAGGACAGTGACGACCACCTGCCGCCTTGGGCCGCGCTTCTCCATCTTCTTGGAGTTCATGGCAGGGAGGAACTCCACCCCTTCATCCAGGTTGTTCATATCCTGGGAGAGGAGGAAAGGCAGGACAGTGGGAAAGCTGTTCTCAAAGCCTGGCTTGGGGAGGTCCAGCCACAGAGCAGCCTGAAGCAGGTTTGGGGACAAGGAATGCAGCAGCACTGTGTGCAAACCTCACTGTCAGCAGCTCCACAGCCATGGCAGGACAAACCCTGAAGGCTTCCTCTTTTTTCTTCATACACCTAATTCCTTTTTGTGCCTAATATAAGGTCACAAGCTCAAGCAAACTCAGGGGCAAGTCCACATACCCTCCTGTGACCATGGCAGGTCACAAGCCCACAAGCTCCAAAATCTGCCTCAGCAGATGAAACTGCAGAGAAAAATTCACCCCCACTAAGTGCTCGCTGTGTGCAGGTGTGTCACCTAGTGCTCATGGGGCACAGCATGCTATAAATAGCATTTCTCTAAAAGAAGAAATCAAGCTGCTTCCTTCCTTTACATTTTTACAGCTGTCATGCCTCCTGAGCCACCAGCACTCCTGTGTTTCTGCTTGGAATCTCTCATCCAGCACAAATACTTGTTAAAAGAAATAAACCAAAAAACTAAGATGGACACACAAAACATCCCCACAACCCATGAGCAGCCATGCTTCTGGGACAAGACGCGTAAGAGAGGAACGAGGAATGACACAGCTCTTGCTGTCATCACAATGGGCTGGGTGAGGAAGTGGAAAATGTGCTGAAGCATCAAGCTCTACAGTATCAGCTCTAAAACCTGAGCTCTGTATCAGCTGTAAAACCATTGGTATCCCAATGTTTTTACTTTCTCACATCTTCTGTCCTGTTCCTCCATCCTTGCCTTGCTTGTGTATCTGTACCTCTCACCGGTGGGGGGGTGGTTGGACAGCTGCAGACCCAGATGTTTTCTGAGGATCCCACACAGCATCCTTGGTACTGCTGTACATCATGAGGGCCTGGATCTGCACCTACCATGGCACCTCCTCTCCTCCCAGCACTGGCAGTGGTGTGGCCAAAGCTCACCACATCTGCTTCTGATCTGTGCCTCCCTTGGTCAGGAAGGGCTCTGCACATGCTGCAAAGGCCCAGAACAGGAAGATCCCTCATCCTTCTGCTCACCACCTTCCCATTTTCTCCTTCGCAGGCATTCAGTGGCTTCCTGGGCTCTGGAACCTCAGCATGGACACCATGGCACAAAGTGCTGACTCACACAAATCCGTGGCATTTCCACGTGCCCTGTGCTCCAGGAGGGTGATGCTGTCTCCACAAACACAGGATCAGACTCTGCCTGTCCTCTCTCAGCCCAGGGCTCACACAAACCTAATCCAACAGCTTGGGTTAATGTGATGCAAATGTCACAAGCCCCTAAATTCAGTAAAAATATGGACAAGGGGGATATAGCTTGATAGAACACAAGGGAATGGCTTCGAAATGAAAGGATAGCAGGGTTAGACAGGATACTGGAAAGAAATTCTTCCCTCTGAGGGTGGTGAGGCCTTGGCACAGGTTGCCCAGAGAAGCTGTGGCTGCCCCTGGATCCCTGGCAGTGTCCAAGGTCAGGTTGGACAGGGCCTGGAGCAGCCTGGTCTAGTGGAAGGCGTCCCTGTCCATGACAGGGATTGGGGCTGGATGGACTTCAAGGTCCCTTCCAATCAAAAACACTCTGGGATTCTAAGAAAAACAACTAGCAAAGGGGATCCTGCAAACAGAGTGATCTCTGAGCCTGCTGTACAGACACAAGGAAAAAGCCATCTTCACTGCATTTCCTCACTGAACTTCCAGTACTTCATCTTATCTTTCCTCAGCCTTGCCTGGCAGGAAAGCCCAGCTTCCACTTGAACCATTCCCCCACTTCTTTTGCCCTTTTCTTCACCCAATGCCTGTGCTCTTCTCCCACCCTCCACACCACACTGCAGTCTCTCCTCCTTGAGGTATTTGCCCAGGGCCCTTCACAACAGAAAGAGAAGTGGCAGGCACCTTACTCCGAGTTTTTGTCAAGGACTCTAAGTTTAATCCTCTGCAAACACCAGAAGACCACCAAGACCAGAGCAACCCACCGGTTTTCATACCACCTGCTCTCAGAATCTTTCCAGTTTATCATTTGGCAGTTCAGGGAAGAAGCCTTCATTCATTTTTGAGTTTTAATGTCTACGGCTAGACAGAATGAACTGTTTCCATCCCCAAAATTCACCCACCTCCAAAATAAACAGACCTAGCAGGGCTGCAAAGGACAATCCCATAGGGAATGCTCTGAATTTTGTTTAACTTCTGATCATACAGGAAAAGATTGAAGATACGACCCAAGGAAACTCTGAAACAGATGACACACAAAATAAAGCTTAAATACATAGAGACATTCTAAATCAAGAAATTCTTCAAAGTCAAGACTACCTGGATTTTGACACACCGTCTTCTAAACTGGCTCCTACCATTTTTCCAGTAATGAAATAAACCCCCCAAAATCTGGTAAAGAGAAGAAACTGGCCACAAAACTTGCAAACACATCCTCTCTCTCTCCAGAGGGCTGCTCACAATGCTGAGCCTTCTCAGGACTTTCGAGACATTGCTGTTGTTGGCAGGAAGCAAAGTATTTAATTCTTCATTAACATCTTCAGGAGCCTATGGCAAAAAGACATTCTCAGGTTCTTAAATGATCTATCAGTTTCCCCAGACTTCCTGCAGCCAGCGAGGAAGAACTGCAAACAAAACCAATTTTCCATAAGAAAACTCTGCAGCTCCAGGGACCTTCAGCCCTCTGCAGAATTCATACACTTCCGTTTCACCAAACTGTCAGAAAAAAATAAGAGTCAGCAGCAAGCAGGAGCTCCGGCTGTACAACACTGCACAACAACGTGGCTGATGCATTGTAACCATCCCCTTTAAGCTAAAGATTGTGTCCTTGCAGAGTGAAAAGTCTCCCAGGGAGAAAATCATTGCTGTGATTAAATTAGAAGGCCAACAGAGCTCCCCTCTGCCTCCAGCACACACAGGCACATGTACTGCTCCTGGGAGCAAATTAGGCAGGAAAACTCAACATCTGCTCTTTCTTTAGGCAATTTCTCTGCCTTCCTTGGGGGGAAAAAAAAAAGCATGAAAAATGTTAAACCTGTGAGAGTTTACAGCAAGCCTTTGTCAGTTTGTTCTTGCTCCAAAGCTGAGCCAGCAGCAACACAGAAGAACTGACAGGTGTGCAGGGACTTCTAGGGACTTCTGAGAAGGTTACTTTTGTTTTTCCTCCAGTACAAGGTGCACAAGCAGCCACTGACACTGCTACTTGCCAGAAGTTATCCTGTGACTACAAGCAGACAGGAGGCATGATCCAAAGAGGTTTCCCTCCCTCCTCACCCTCTGTGTTATATTCCAGCTCTCATTCTCTCCCATTCCCATACGTTATGGATGCCATTATGTTCCTCAGCCAACACAGACACTTGTGTGAAGAGCCCTCACCCATCACAGCCTGGGTGAGCAACAGCCATTCCTGCAAACTCTTCCCAATACCCAGTGAAGAATCTGAAGCCATCCCCAAGCACTGCTGGAATGATCAACCAGGCCATGCAGAAGGTCTCAGATGAGGCCTTGTGTCCTGAACTCTAAGAGGCTGAAACCTCCCTGCCCACACTCTGCACAAAACCCACCCATCTGACCTGGGGACCAGACTAGCCTGTGCCCCACAAGTGCAGCTCAGCCTCTGCCCCTCTCACTCCCTGTGCTCCACATCTCCTTTGTGCCCAACACTTGTGAGGAAAAACATCCTGCCACCATCCTCTAAGCTAGATGGAAATCAGACAAAATCACATGCAAGACAGGCTCAAAGATCACAGTTAAATCAAGAAAAAGACAACTGCTATGTTAATCTCCTTCAGTTGATGGCTGCTGCACATTTCCCTCGCATGCTCTGAAGAGTGGCAACTGTAAACTAGAGAGGAGCTGAACAGGTACTGGTCTCACCTTGTCCATGGTTCCTCCAGAAACCGTCTCTAGCCCCAAGTGACTCAAGGTGCGCCTGTCTCACCCTTCTCAAGGAAACTGCTCCAATAAACATTATTAACAGAAAACCTCCCTTGATATTCTCTCTGCCTTAGTCACTGCTGCAGTTACTTCCTCCTGCATCTCCTCACTCATTCCTTGCCAGTATGGCCAGGCTCCCCACACAGGGAGTGTGACCCACTGGTCACAGCATCAGCTGTGGCAGCAAAACCAATGCGGGGAAAAGTTCAGACAGGCACTGCCCCAGTTCTCTCATGCCTCAGTCTCCCCTGGAGTACCAATTCCATAAAGAAACTTGGAAAAGAAGTGCACATAGATGAATTTATAGAGCGCTTGGAGGGTTCCTGCTCCTCTGCACAGAGTCTGAGCTCAGTCCTGGGGAGAGCAGACCTCCTGTTCCTCCTTCTCTAAGCCACACAATGTATTTTTAGACAGTGACTGTGCTCTGTCCAACTGGACAAACCAGATGCAGAAGTGACTAATTCTGTCAGCAGGAAATGCAGCTCACACAAGGGGGTGGCAGGAATCAGCTCTGCACTGGAGATCTTATGGGAAAGCAGAGAGATTCTCCTGCAGTGGGGGATCATGGAAAGGCTGGGATATGCCATGGAATACAGCTCTCCAGCATGATGTGTGCAAAGCAGGGGTCCCACTGGAATCAGCATCCTCCATAGAGGGCAGTTTCTGCCTTTTTGGCACTCCCAGATGGTGTTGTGTTCCAGGCACCAAACACCTTACTGTTCCCCTCTCCTCCAAAACAGCTGCTCCATCTGTTCCCTCAGTGCCTACATCTATTTACAGGACTCTGACCCACAGAAGGACTGGGCTCCCGGCCATTAGTTTCACCTATCCTTTATGAACACTGGGTAATTTGTTCATCCAGCACCAGACACAAGATTTATCTACTTGCTTTGACTTTCCCAACTCCAGACTCTGCTGGTCTGCCACAGGACTGCTCAGGGCCAAAGCTGCCCAGATCATACAAGGTAAGAGTAGGTGTGCAACCAAATAAAATCTCACAGCAAAAAATATCACTGTCTGACA